GGGGGGGGAGAGGTAAAGGGAAGAGGGGAGAGCAGGTTAATGAGTGCAAGGGGAGGAGGGGGATGGTAGAGAGAGGTGAGGAGGGGGGAGGGGAGGGGAAGTCAGGTTAGCGGCCTCCGGGATGACTAACAGGAAAGGGGTGGCGGTGCGGCGGTCGTGACGAGTGCTGCTGCTGCTCCCCCGACGGACACGCGCGTCGATTCGATTTCCGATGCGTTTTCAGCCGGCGAGGAATAAGGGTTGTTGGCGTGGGCGTGGGCTGGGTGCCGTGCGGGGCCGGGTGGGTAACTGGCCCAAGGCCGCCCCACAACTATCACTCGTGCAGCTCGGTGGGAGTTGAAACACACGCATCGGCTCTAATAAAGGGGACAGCAGCAGCAAGTCGTCACACACACACACACTAAACCCTATGCACTTTGTTGTGCATAAACATGCAGAAGCAGCCATAAGTATGCACAAATTGTATGCATAAATGTGTACAAATCGTGCATGGTTATGCACAAACTGTACTGTGTATTTCATAAAAGACACAGGCACGGGCGGGTATGCCTAAACCCAAGGAGCTATGGCACCTCACGGGCAGAGCGGGCGAGGCGAACCCGCCTGCATCTGTGTCTTTTATGAAACACCCGGTACATGGTTATGCTTAAAATTTTGCATGTCTGTACACAACACAAAATAAAGGACTTAGCGTTATAGACAAAGGAAAGAAAAACATGAGATGCATGCAAAATTTCTTACACTGTACTACTAGGACTAGGAAACTAGGAAAACACGAGAATAGAAAATTGTTTATTGCGTTCATTTCTGGCGAGCAGCACGGTGCTAGTTGATGCGCAAATTTAAAACGCCGGTCGTCGGGTGTTACGGCAACGTGGCGGCGCTGGCGGCGGCGGTCGGGGTCGGGCGTTTTGCGGTTGCTGCCTGCGAGCCGGGCGGCGCGGGCGGTCGAGGCCACTGCTTGCGATACCGCGCCACGCCACGCCCTGGACCAGGTTAATTACGGCACGCAGACACGATCAGCGTTGTTGTTGTTTAAGAACAATTATAAGACCCTGACTTTGGGCTGTGCGGCGGCGGCGTGGCGTAGCGTGGCGGCGGGCTGAAAAGCCCAACCCCCTTCTCGTCCTGCCCCGCGCGTCCCTCCCTCCCCCCGCCCTCCCTCTCTCGCAGCCACTACTTTGCATTCCAGGCGAGCTGGCCTATTCTCAGCCACCGAGGCGTATTATAAAATGAACAAACAAGATGACGCCCCCACAGCAGCGATATACCTGTGTCCGAAATGATGATAACCCCTTTCGCCAGAGCAAAAGGCTGCGGCTTCTTTTTTAAAAAAATATTTGCGTGTCGCTGTTTTTGTAATACTCCGCTGTGCTCTTTTTCATCGGAATAAAAGAAAAGAAAAATATTAACAGCGCACCAAGGAGCAAGTTTCAGGTTAATCAAATAATTTTGAAATTCATTAATGAAAACAAAATTAAAGCCGAAACTCTGCTCTTGTTTTTTTATTGTGGTTCCGGCCCGTGCACCTTGGCCGACTGCAAAGCACCGGCGCCCGGCACCCCCGTTAGCATGGGAATGCGGTGTGCGTACTCACCTTCTAGGCTGGTGGCCCCAGGTAGGTCGGAGAAGTCTGCAACACAGAAACAGGCGTGAGTGAGTATATAAGACGGGCGGACCATTGCCGACGTCGAAGCGCACGAGGACGCGACCCCGCCAGTCTTAAAATTTGCAGTACAGAGAAGCGTCATTATCACACAATTTCGCGTTTGTTTCCCGCACAATTCGAGTTTAACAAACGCTACCCCCCCCCCCCACACCTTATTCCGCTTTGGAGCCTACGCACAGTGAAATGTCGCCACTCCTTGCTGAGGCTGCAGAGAGGGAGAGTGAAGCCTTTCGAGAGACGTCTCCGAGTTAGGCAACAAAACTTGAACGTCGTGGCGGCGGCGAGCGCGTCACGGCACAGTCACGCTTCTTGATCCTCAAGTTTCACACACATGTCTCATCGTACCCCCCCCCCCCCTCCTTTCTCTTGCCACTAGCAGCTGGTAAACTCCCGTGCAAGCAGCCGGCATACGCATCCCCCGCGCTACACAGAGGGAGCGGGTAAAGGTGCGGGGTGCCAACAATGCGCAGATACGCGAAATAAGGCTGCTAATGATATTGCGAAACCAATGGCTAATTTACGACACAGCAAATTGAGGTTTTAAAAAATTAGCCGATACAATAATTTTAGCAGTACAGCTTAAGAAATATAAAGTACGTGTAGCTCAACACAGCTAAATGATTAGGAATCCCTCATTTGGCTATTGGCTTAGCTTATCATTCTTCCACGTGTTTACCTGCCCGTATTTTGCGCGGCGACCAATACAGTGGTTTTGCGCGCGCCGATGCCCTCCTGCGCTATCACTTTGGTCGCACACTAACAGTTTCCGGCTGCAATCTCCTCTCTTGCTTCCCATACAGAAAGGCGTCGTCGCCGGATACACCGCTCCGGCTGGGGGTAGCGGGAGGGAAAGCCGAGCCGGCTCCATCGAGAGCGCCACACCGACCGATGCGCCCGGCGGGCGTAGGGGCGGCGGGGCGCACAGGACAGGGCGAGCGAGGCTAGGGGGAGAAAACTTCAGGCGGCGGCGTGTTTTTGACGCTTTCCACTATCTCATCGAGCCCTGGGGGTTGCGTTCGGACACACGGCAGCAGCCCCTTCCCCCCGCGGGCAGGTGGATACCCCCGCGGACCACCTCATGCGGGGCTACGCACCGCCGCGCCGGGAGAGGCGCCCCCAACCAGCCATTCTTTATTTCCGCCAAAGTACTGAGCTAAGCGCTCGCAGAAGAAACTTGCCCCCGCGATAACAAGGTTATTGCCACTTCCACCCCTCTCCTTCGGGCAACTACTGTGCTTTCGGCGCGTGGAGCGACGGAGAGCAGAACTGTGCGGGAGTGGGGAGGGGTGGTGGTGGTGGTGCCACGCGGTCTGAGAGCGAGCGAGCGAGGCGGCGAGGGGTAGGGGGGGGGGTGAAGGGGGCAACCCTTGTCTACGTCCCGGGGGCTCTTGCCATGCGCGCATCACCTTGCGACTGACGTGGACAAGAGAGCAGTCGGGGAGTGGTGGTGGTGGTGGCGTGGCGTGGCTCGGTGGGGGCAAGACGTAGGAAGTTGTAACTAACTTGCTCTCCGCCTGTCATTCAGCGCTTCCCACTGTTGCCGGGGTCGAGATTGTCACACCCACCCCGCACTTTCCACTATACTCTCTTTCCCCTAACATTCCTCGCGCTCTATCTCTTGGTCGAACAATAGTAATAGAAGAAAAGAAGACAGCAAAAAAAAGGAGGGCGGGGGACAAGATGGTGTGCGAAGTGTGTGATGACACGTCGCATTATCATTCCTTCTATTACCTGTCTTATCTCATCGGCAGCAGCTCGCTAGGCCCGACCACCCTTCAGCCACACCCTCTTTCAATCCCTTCGCCTCCACCGCCTGAGCTGCCAACCACCCTTGTCACCTTCCACGACGCGGCCGTGTTTTTTCGTTAAAAACTCTTCTAAGACAAATTCTCTGTAAAAAAATGAGTTTTTTTTTTTAAGGTTAACCTTCATTGCGACACATAGAAAGGCTGTCGCCGACACAGGAAATACACACTCGACACAAGGCCGTACATGAAAGGTGTCTCCGAGGCGTCGTCCCCGCGCCCCGCCTGTTCTGTTCGTCGCCCTTTTCCTTTCTGCAGACATCAGACGGCGTCGCGCAGCCGCAGCGAAATACATTACAGCCAATGTGATTGCCATCCTGCCCGCACGTCGCCCCTCCCCCTCTCTCTTTCTTTCTCTCTCTCTCTCTCTCTCTTTGACGAGAGACACAAAAAAAATATAGTAATGTTCTGTGCGGGCCTTGGTGCGGTGCGGCGTGCCGGGAGAGGCGAGGAGGGTCGCGGCCGCACCGGCGTCCTCTGCTTTCCACCTGCGTTTCACTCAATTAGATTATTCACCTTCTTCCTTGGCAGGGGCCTCTGAGCTGCGTCAGCAAGCGGTCTGTCCGCCGCCGTGCCGCCCTACTTCCCAACCCCTCTGTCTCTGTCTCTCCTCGTCCTCGTTCGTCTCTTGTCTTCTCCCTCTCTCACCTAGCGGTGCAGCCAGTCGGGCAAAACGAACAAAAGGGTTTCCCCGACCAGACATATTATTGGAAGGAGAGAGACAGAGTAAGAAAAAAAACACACGGCGCAGCAGAGCAAAAACAGGAGCAACAGCAGAGGTGGTGGTGGCCGTCAACGCCCTGAGCTAGGTTTGACGCAGCCGGGCCATCGCGAAAAGGATTGGTTTAGTTTTGTTATAAACCAACAAAACACTGAAAGATACATTATTAGTCGAGAGCTCGGTCGAGAGTGAGTGCTTTATCACGATGAGCACGGACGCAATGAGAGGGGGTGCAGGATGGAGAGATGACGTCAGGGGCACTGTTACAAATTCCGCGTGCGACCAGACAACAAACTTTTTAAGACCTCGGTATACGTGTGCGGCGCGGACGTACCGGGTGATGCAGAGAATACGCAAATGCACGTGGGTTTGGCCAACCAAAGGGGCTATGGCGCCTTACCGGCAGAGTGGGTAGGCACACCCGCTCGAACCTGTGTCCTCTTTGGATCACTCGGTACAATAAACAGCAAAAATCGTGGAGGAAACACTTGTCACTGAAATTTCCGAGGGAAAATCATAAATAGCCTTTGCCTGTGTTTGCACTGTGAACCTCTCTCCTAAAATCAGTAGTGGTCCGCCTGTTGGGCGGAGCAGGCAGCTCGAGGAAGGTGGTAGGGAGGGGATGGTGGGAAGATGGGAGGAAGAGGGGCGAGGAGGTGGCGATCCTTAACACGTAGGCTTGTGTCGGGCGCCCCGGAGGCCAGAACCGAGGACGGCGCGGCGCGATGATAGCGGACAGGGGCGGGCAGGGCACGAAGAAAGGGCGGGAGGGGGGGGGGACAGGCACGACCACACCAAAGTGATTCTCCGGGAGGAGAGGCGCAAAACGTTATTAGCGGAAGAGCTTTGCCTCATATTATGAAGTTCAGCGCCGTCCCCGGAGGAGTCCTCCTCCCCCATTTGCTTTCCCTCAACCCTCTCTCCTCGGCAGCGCGCTCCTCGGTCAGGCCATTTCAGAGCAGCAGCAGCAGCAGCAGCCAGCCCCTTTTGTCTGCCAAGCCTCTACCCCAGGGGGCTCCCGGCGCCGAGATTCAAAATCAAAAGCTACACCTGCTCTTTCAACACCACTTCTTCAAGGAATACGGATAACCTTTGCCTTTTTTTCTTCGTTTTCGATGCCAACCTGGAGCCTCCACCCCACCGAGATTTTAAGTCAAAAGCTATACACGTGGCCTTTCATTGCCGTGCGTTTCTCGAAGGACAACCTTCGACTTTGATTACGCTTCTGATGAAACAGAGGAAAAGAACTGGGTAATGGCTCTTACAGACGCGACTTGCTTACGTTTTGATTGGTCCGTCGCTTTAACCTTGCCTGTTCTAGCCGACCCGGAGCCTATCCCCTCGTTCGACGTATTTATATCCCAAACGTCCCATTTCTTCCCTCCCTCCCCAGCCACCTCTTTTACCCTAACCACCTCCCCCC